CCCCCCCGCATTTTTCCACTTTCCCACTCGAACCCCTCCAAGGACGATCGAGGAAGCGGCGTCTCAAACGTGTGGAAGCAGCGGAGCAGGGAAAAAAGCAAGCACGTAAAATGGGTACAAAGTAATAAAGATTAAGAACGCGTCTCTTATGCCCTAGAAACCTTTAGGAGCAAGAAAGATGTCCCACATTTGGTCTGGTTTTACTGTAAATCACGTTGTAAGAGCGAAAACACCTTTTAGAGGAGTTGGAGGTGAAATACACCGCTCATTTCTTTCGCTTTTCTGTTTCCCGTAATTTCTTGCTCAGAATGAATCCAAAACGCAGCCCGCGCTGCTGCCCACCCTGCTTGGTGCTAATACGGGGGGTTTGGGTTTCCTCGTACAAAGCTGGAGAGCCGCTGGCTTTGCTAAAATAAAATAAAACAAAACAACCCCGAGACAGCCAGAACCCATCACCCCACCTACAGACAGATTTTCACTCATTTTTCTGCTAAAAAACCCCTTTTTCTGCTGATTTTTAGAGGGGCTCAGCTTCTCAACCTCCCTGCACGCAGCTGAGGAGCGTCTGCTCCAAAAACCACCTCCAAAAATCTGCCCGAGGCTGCACTGAAGGGCCCAGAGTTGGCAGCCACTTCGGAAAATACCATTTGCAGGCAAAACTGTTAAATTTTCCAGAGAATGAAGCTGAGAAATTGCTGGGATTCCCCTTAATAGATTTTTAAGAGGAAACATTATCTGCTTGGCTGCCAGTAATATTTCAAGATCTAAATGGGGCTGAAAGCAGGATCTGGGCTTTCTTTGGGCTGCTGTGCTCTGGATGAGAGCCTGGAGGTGGAGCAGGGGGGATGCTGCCCCTCAACCCCCTGGAGCTGCTGGGGCTGCCTCTCCTCCCAGTATCGACCATCTCACCCAACCATCTCACCCATCTGGGGGGCTGAAGGAGGCTCCTCAATGAGCAACTGAGAGGGAGGGGTGGTTATTGAGGGGCTGGGACATGAGGAGAGCAAGAGGTGTGGATATCTGGGATGGTCGCTTCCACTGATGTCCTAATGATCACTGGGGAAAAAGTCAGAGATCTCTTCATACGGTGTTTTTAAGGCAAAATCTAAACATGATTACCAGCTTTAAAGAACTGCAGTATTGTCCTAAACCTCTGGGCATCCATTAAACACATGAGGATCCCGCAGGAAGCCGGAGCCACACGGATGCTGCAGGCTCTGCCAGCTTCCCTGCAGCCATGGGGTGATGGAGCTGGGTAACCCCCACCCAGAGCCAGCTGAGGGGCTCTGTGGCTGCTAACGCTGTCTTGGGCAACCAGAGATTCATCCTGGGGCTGGTGAAGGACCTTGAGCTGCAGATATCATTGTGCTGCTGTGAGAAACCAGTTAGAAGCAACCCAAGCAATGTTTGCTGCGGTGGAGGCATCTCCCAAGCAAAGGCAGGGCCAGAACTGGGAATTTCACCCTGCTGATGTTTGACCTCTTGTCCGCAGGGCAAAGTGGCCGTCAGCTCCTCCAGCCCCGTGGTCACAGCTCTGTTACCGGCCCCATCCCAGGCCAGACACGCGTCCACCAGCGAGGGGGAGACCTTCAAACTTCCAGGCAGGCTGAGTGAGTAGATGCTGAGCAAGTCAACGCTGCTTCAAAAAGGAGTTCCCTCAGGGAGGGACACAGTGGGTACAGCCATGGTGTCCCCACCCAGGGACCGTTCCCTGCTGTCAGGGAGGATGTGATGGACCAGCCATGAGGATTCATTTTCTCTCTTTGGGGTGTTTTTGACCAGTGAGTGCTTAATATAGAGAGAATACTGAATCCCACCCTCAGCAGTTTTGAAGATGGAGACTGAGTTGTTTCAGAGGCTGCCCTGGTTTCAGGAATCCAGCCCTCGCTGTGGAGCAAGGACGACGTGATCCACTGGCTGAGATGGGCTGAGGAGGAGTATTCCCTTCGGCAGACGGACGAGAGCAAGTTTGAAATGAACGGCAAAGCCCTGTGCATCCTCACCAAGGACGACTTCAGACACCGAGCTCCCAGCTCAGGTTAGACCCAGTGTTTCCGAGGTCTGTCCAAGCACAGCATAAGCTGTCTTCTGCTGAGCTGGGTGCCAACAGACCAGGCTTTAGCTCTGCATGGCCAGTTGGGTGCTGGAGACAAGGACAACCTCTTCCTTCCCTTAGTCCACCTGGGCAAATGCTTTGAGATGGGGAATAACCTCTTGCTCTGTAGCACAGAAACCTAAGCCACATCAACCAAGAGAGTCTCTGCCGTGATACAAGATGATCTGAGCAGACTTTCCTTCCCCGCAGGTGATGTGTTATATGAGATACTCCAGTACATTAAGACTCAGAGAAGAGCTCTGGTGTGCAGCCCCTTGCTCAGCTCACCCTTGAGGGAAGCCAGGAGCACAGAGGAAGGTAGGATGGAGAAGGGCACATGTCCCATCGAGCAGAGCCTGCCCCTGCCCTCAGCCACAGTGGGTTGCACACAGCTGAGGTTTGAAGCTCAGCCAGCTGAACCCATCCCACTCTACCTGAGCAAGGCAAGCGGGACAGTCCTGGAGATGGCAGAGAGGTCCAACAAAGTCCAGGTCCAGGAAATTCATAGTGATGGAGCAGGTCTGGTCAGAATCAGATGGGTCCATGGTGACCAAGCAAGGCTGTGGCTACAGCTAAGGAGAATATCTGCAGCTTGAGATCGGGATCAGGATCAGGGAGGGTCAATAGCCAAGCAGAGGCACAGCCATGGCTGGAGATGAAGTCCTCCTGCAGCAGAACTGGGAAAAGAGTTAAAAGCCAGGGCTGAGCTTGAATAGAGCTCCTGGGTCAACGGCTGGGGTGGGGAGAGGCCCCTGGTGAGGCTGGTCAGGGCCAGTGAGGTTTATAAATACACTTGGAGGGGCTAGGGAGGAGGTAGAGGTGGGTATCAGTGGCTGGTTTTGTATGAAGTTGTCTTTAGGGTTGCTTTCTTGAGCTCTTCTGCTGGCTTGGGTGTGGGTGGTGAATATCCTGAGCCCCCACAGCAATTTACCTGGCAGTGCCTGTGCTCTGGTGTGTTCTCCTATTTCAACTTTTCCTCTATATGTGACCCTCACCTTGTGCAGCATCTCCTCTGTCCTCCCTGGACCTCCTGCTGCTCCTGCCTTAGAAGAATCCCAGCCTTCGCTCAGCACTCATTGGGCTGAACTAACCTGGGCTGTCCCTGCCTGCCAGGGCTTTAGAAGATCTCCTGGGACCTCACACACCACAGGGTTGTTGTATTTTGTCTTTCAGGGACACGCTGCAGTGCTGAGGCTGCCCCAGTTGCTGTCTCCTCCTGCCTGGGTTGTGCAGAGCAGCCCCTGTCCCGCAGCCGCACGGAGCCACTGCACCTCTCCCATCCCAGCCCCGAGGGCAGCTGCAGGGCAGATCCCATCTGCGCCTTTCCTACAGCCCTGCCGGCCCTGGTGGATGGGAAAATTGCAGGTAAATATGAATTTACAGCCTGGTTCCTTGGGGAAATGAGGCTGTGCTTTATCCTGTCTGTCCACCTGTCCCCCTTCTATTTATCCTGCATCTCGTGTGCTTCCCCGCCTCAGTTTCCACACCTGAAAAGTTGTAGTTCCTGCGACTGTTTTGAGATCTAGCAATAAAAGTGCTGTATGTGAGCTCTGGGCTCTTCTTGTATTTATTATCATTGCCACCATGTGCAATCCTGTTGCTGACCGACCCTCGCTGGAGCAGAAGGTGCCGTAGTGGGAGCTCTGTGACTCTTTATTCTCCACCACCGCTCAGACTGCAGGTTGCTGTGGGATTACGTGTACCAGCTCCTCTGCGACAGCCGCTACAAACCTTACATCAGGTGGGAAGATAAGGAAGCCAAGATCTTCCGGGTCGTTGACCCAAATGGTCTTGCCCAGCTCTGGGGAAACCACAAGGTAAATGCAGTTGAGAACAAATTTGTCATTCCTGGATGTCCAAGAACCACTGCAATTGCCCCACATGTGGTTCTGCTGCAGACAGACCCAAACCAGGTGTTGGCTCTTGCTTTTCCTTAATGTCCTCCACCAAATTCTCTTCTTCCTCCAGAACCGGATGAACATGACATATGAGAAGATGTCACGAGCGCTCAGACATTACTACAAACTCAACATCATCAAAAAGGAGCCGGGGCAGAAGCTGTTGTACAGGTGAGATGAAGCAGATCGGAGAAACGAGCTGCCTGGGACAGCGTGGAGGGGGCACGGGGATGTGGTGGGCTCCAGATGTTGGCAGCTGCTTCATCTTGTGGGCTCTGTGATAGTGCGGACCAAGCTTGAGTTGCAGCATCTTTGCTGTACGTTGGGGTGATGTATGGGAACGTGGTCTGGGTTTATGGTGCTGGTCCTGTGCTCCTGTGCCTTGGGCATCCTGCAGTGGCTCTGCGCATCTCTGACAGCTGGAACCAGCCTTCGTGATGAGGTGAAAAACCTGCACTGGTTTCAGTTTTGCAAAACCTCAGTGGCTGCTTCCTGGTTTGTTTTTTTACCCTCAAATGCCCCAGGGCCAGCGCCCATCCCTTCTCCTATGTGGGGTCCAGCTCAAGCTGGGCAGGTCCCTCCTGTTCCCCAGTGACACCAGCTCTGAAGTTCACCTCTGGACACAAGAAGGGGTGGAACTAAATCAAGAATCTCCTGTTTTCAGTGCTGGCTGCTTTCCTGGGACTAATTTGGACTTAAAATGCCCATGCTGGGATGATGAGTCCTGAGCTTTGTCTCCCCAGCTTCAGTGCTCCCTGAGTGCAAAGCAGGAGCTGGGATCCTCAGGCAAGCCCCAGAGCTCGGCTGAGGAGGTCAAGGGCTCCAGCATTTACAGCTTGGTTTGGGCTGGGTTTGGGTTCGGACGTGCCCTTAAAGCCACTCAGAAAACGTGTTGCAGGTTTTTGAAGACCCCTGGGGAGATCGTCCATGAGAAATCCAGCAAACTGGAGCAGCTGGAGAATGAGGACCACGAGGACTTCAAAGATGACCCACTGGAGGTTTCGCCATAGGAGATCTTTGAAGGTGGCATTTGCAGCACATCGCAGACAGATTTGCGATCCGCTGGGAAGCGCCGGTGTCTCTTACATCTCTGGACAGAAGGACACAGTGGTGGCCCTGGGTTTCAAAACCTGTCACAGCTTTGGCTCAGGGCATCTCTGGGTCTTTGTTAGTGTAACACACCCAGAAGCTGTCCCCAGCCCTGAAAATGCAGGTCAACGTGTGGCCTGCTCACTGCTTGCTTCTCTCCTATCTTCTGGGAGGGACTGTGGGGTGTTTGTTCTGTAAATGTTGATGCTTGTCTTTAAGGTTCAAACTTGCTGGTAAACACCGGGCTGTCCTTACAGTGAGATGTGCTGAGCAGAGAGCACCAGGGAACACGATCAGGGTCCAACATCCACCAAAGTGCTTTTGCAGAGAGCAGTGGTCCTAAGCATGAACAGTTCCCCAGTTCAAGAACGAACTCACGTTGCAGAAATGCTCTGCACCATCACCTCGCTGTCTCCTGTGGGGTTGCTCCTGGGATTCGGGGTAGACTTGTGCTGAAATATCTGCCTGGATCAGGCCTGGCTGGAGCTCCAGGCTGCCCTAAGCTGGGTCTCAGTTGAACTCCTTTCCCTCCTGATAGTGCTTTTCGTCATTAGCTGAGTAAATAATGTGAAAAGAAACAAACCCAGTGAGGAATATGACCACGCTCATCGTCAGATGTGGTTGTTTGCTTTGTGTCTGAAGCAGGAATACCTGCAATCCCAGGCACTGCACGAGACCTGGGAGAAACAATGTGTGTGTGTGTTTTAAATGTGAAAATACCCACTAATATGTTTAGATTTGTATTTCATTGAGGAAATAAAATCCTGTGACTAGGTACAGTTGAAAATCCCACTTCTTGCTGCTTGAAGGTCTGAAACTGAGAAATCCAAGCTCTCCTCATTTAACACCAGCTCTGGTGGACACCGAGGTTGTGTCCCTGCGCTTGGCAGCCCCAAAACCAGAGCGCAGCAGCCCGAGCTACTTTGGGAGGTCCTGGCTAGGAAGGGAGGTCAAAATCTCTGCTAGGAGAGGGGGCTGGAGGTTGTCCAGCACCCAGCCAAACTGCAGCCTGGGATGTACCACACTCGAAGGTGAAGTGAAGCATCCAGACCAGAGAATGGTCCTGAGCACCCCATCACTTCTCCATCTTGCGTGGTTTGTTTTGTCGGAGCCGATGACCATCAGTGACCCCGGTGCTCATGCTGCACACGCAGGGAACGTGCGAGATGCCCTCTGTTCTCCTGTTTCTGCAGCGGTGACTAACGCTGCTGCTGGACGTGGATGGGGTTTTCCTTTCCTGGCAGAGAAGCTGCCAAACGCACCCAACCCTCGCTGGGCCGTGCCGTGGATCCGGAGGGATCTTGGAGGGTGAAAATCAAAGGGTGCCTCTACAAGGATGGGCTGCAGTGATGAGCTTTTGCCATGCTCCCAGGAAGGGCCCTCGTGTCCTTCCTGGGTCAATGTCTCTCTTTTCCCTGTGGTAAACAGAGGCAGGAGGTTGTAAAGCTGCTGCTTTCCTGGAACAGGGACCCATCCCTTTCTGTAAACAGCCGAGCAACCGCCACTTGCGCCGGGGTTTTTGGTGTGGGCGTGCGACACAGCGGGCGGTGAATTTTGCCATGGCTGGAGTCCAGGGGTGGTGACACACAGACGGGTGCCACACGCGAGCTTTCCCGAAGGTTTGCGGGTGTTTCAGTCCCTGGACATCATCACCCATGGGTCAGCAGCTCCAGGTCTGGCGGTGTTTGAGGCCTGGGTGCCCGCTGCTGCCTTGCACTGCTCATCAGCTGAGGGAAGCAGCCAAAACCAGCCCCAGGGCTGGAGGAAAAGAGGATTTGTTTTGGGGGGCTGATGCCCAACACCCTCTTGGACCAGAGGCACCACATAGGCTGAGAGGTTTCCACCAAGGCCATGCACTGGCTGTGCCGTCCATCCAAACCACGGCTGCTGTGGCTGCCCTCAACACCCAGTCATGGTTTGGATCTGAAACTGTGGATATTTTTGTGCCCAGGTGGCTGGTGTTGGCTCAAAGAGTCCTTTGTGGTCCACTTGAAACACAACTGCCTCCCGCACCCAGCTGGGTTGGCTGTGGCTGACCAAATCTTGAAGCCCACAAGGATGGTGATGCCCCATCACCTGGACGTCCACCTGAGGTTGTCCCACCGTCCTGCAGAGGAGGCTTTTCCTGATGTCCAACCTCAGCCTCCCAAGCTGTGGCCTGTACCTGTCTTGTTCCCAAGAAATGTGGGTGATTTGACTCCTGCCTTCTCCTGGGCACATTTTAACCCTCTGCACCTCACAGCTCCATGAAGGAAATACCTCCTGCTTGGTTTTCTCCATTTTTCAGAACAAGTTCCTGTAAATAGGCTTCTTACCCCTGCTGTGCACCATGCTTTTAGTTCTGCTTTTCCCTCCAGCGTCACTGGCCTGAAGATACCAACCCTGGCAATATGTGCTCCCTCCCCATGACTGCGTTTCCAGGCAGCTTCCTCATTCTCTGTTGGTACTGGTGAGAAAAGCAGCCAAACTGGGATCCAGGGCCCTTCCTCCAGCTTTGGTAATGGGCTTTTGGTTTGTCTCAGGTCTCTTGCAGACATCTTTTTCATGCATCTCTCTCCCATCAGGCTTTAGCACGTCCCAGATTCCAGAAGGGACCTTGGAAAGGGGTTTGGATCTGGAATCACAACTCAGGTCAAGATTTGGGTCATTTTGGGTATCCCATCTTCAGGCTGTGTCCAGAAATGCTCCTGCAAAGAGAAAAAGGCTGCAAGAGGCCATAAGTCAACCCTGATTGCCAGTTTGATCATGAGAAGTCTCGGCCTTGAATGATCTCCAGTAGCAAGATCTCCAAACTGGAGATGGCCAAACTGTGCCCCATGGCCAGACTGGATGTGGCTTTTTGTTATACTGATGTTGCTGGGAAAAAAAACCAAACAAAATGGATTGTGAAACTCCTTCTCACCCACTGGAATCGACCTGCTTATAAAAGGATGTGGTCATGTGCTGGTTAGCAGCATGGAGCTCCTGATGGATGGTTTAATTATTTACCAGGAGATGGGGATGCAGAAAAACAAAGCCAGGTAATTCCTAATCAATACCAGACCCTGATTCATCAGTGTAGGCTCAGGAGAAATGGGGTGAAATGGACCATATCGCTCCCAATTATAGGGAATTATGGTACAGAAAGTGAGCAGAAACAGAAAGAAAATAATCCTGGAACGGTTCAATGGCAAACTGAACCTGTTATCAGGAAAAGACCGTTTTTATCTGGGATGCACCTGGGCAGCACATCATCTCAGTTGAAAAGGAGAGAAAATGCACCGTGGTTTAGGTGGAAACCTTGCCAAGGTGTTTTCTGAAGCCAGCGTGTCCAAAGCTGCCGCCCGGCAAATGCGTCTGCATCCAGTCTGCATCCAGCACCATCTCTGCAAGGTGCAATGTGAAATATTGCCATCAGATGGCAAAACAGCAATGAGGATGGCGGGCGGCTGCCTGCTGAGGGTGCGACAGGCACCGGGGTGCAAGGGGCGGGTGGGGGGTGGCGTGGGTCGGTTGGTGGTCATTGGTCATTGCCCGATGACTCCTTCCCACCTGGGGAGGGGATTTGGGAAAAGGAAAGATGATCCATGGGTTGAAATAGAGACAGAATTAATAAAATAATAATAAAAAACCTAATATTAATAAAAATATTAATATAAAGTACCCAAAGTTATACTCAGATGATATAGTGGTCGCAGCAAGTGGGGGAGAAGGCCTCAGGAGCAGAGTGATGGGTGAGACCCTCCAGAGATGATGAGCACTGAGGAAAGAGAGGGCATCCCCAGCAAACTCCCCAGTTTATAGTGAGCATACACACATTTATGGTATGGAATAACCCTGTTGGGCAGCTTGGGTCAGCTTCCCCCCAGCTTCTGCACCTCAAATCTGCTCAAGACCTCGATCACTGCATACCAGAGCCAGCCAAAAACTAAAACCAAAAGTGTCTCATCAGCTTTGTTCCCATTTCTTCTCAGAAATGCAGCTTTCCTGGATAGAAAACTGGTTCTTTATTCAGTCCCAGTGAAACCAGTACAAGGGCCACATGGATCTCTGGTGTAAGAGAGGTGTAAGCAGGTTGGGTTGTCCCGGGGGCAGATTGCGGATGTTGGGCTGTGCGGATCTGAGTTCTGTGTGTTTGGCTCCGGGGGATGCTCTGCCCCTGGGCAAGGCTGAGGGGGAGCCGTGTGGGTGCAAGGGATTTGGGTCATGAAGTGGGTCCTGTTTCGTGTTTTAGGGTGGGTGTGTGGGGTCTCTGAGGGATCCCAGGGTGGGTTTCAAAGATGTCATAGCCCAGCCATGCTTGGGGTTACTGACAACCTGGTAGCACCGTACCCCATGTCTGTGGTGCTGGGGTACCCCATGTCTGTGGTCCTGTAACAGCCATGCCATTCCCTTTCCTGGAAGCTCCTGGGATGAGAGCGCGGTTGATCTGCTCGCTGCACTGAAACCGCATTTATCTGAGAAAGTTATGACTTCTCCTTCCAAAAACAACCCTGAAAAGCTCATACATGGCATCACACCCATTCAAAAACAAGAAGAGCAAACCAAAACCGAGTGCCAAGCAGCTGGCTTAGATATCTGGGTTCAAAGGACAGCGATTACAGCAGGTGGCAGGTGATTTTTATGTTGTTTTGCTGCTGCTTGTCACAAGGAAGTTGTTTTCTCCTCCAGCGAAACTCACGCCTGCTGGTTTTCTGCCACAAGGGAGGTGATAGCAGGGATCCCATGCGGAAGCGCTGGCTCTCCTACCTGAATGGCTGCTAAAAATAGGACTTAACTCACTGGCCCCAGTATAAAAAGGCACCTCCCGGGAGAGCCTGACAACCCTTAGTGCCCGTGGCCGAGGAGGTTGTCTTGATTTATGTCCAGGAGGGCAGAAATACTGATGGAAAGGTAAATACCCAAAGAGCAATTAAAGAACGATGCGGCCGATTCACAGGAATCAATCGACGTAGGATGGGGGCTGTTGCTTTGCTGTTGATACATTGAGTTGAATGATTTATTGGGTGCTTGGGTGGCTTGGGTGTTGGCTTGGATGGAAGAAATTTGCTTTCTTGATCCAAAAAGAGGCCAAGTTGGAGTGGGTGGGTGCGTTTGTGCATTGATGTTCACTGAGACTGAGCAGAGGCTGATGCCCAGCTCCAGGGTGGTTTGTATGGCCGAGCGTGCCCGATTTCAGTGTTGGCTTCCCCTGTGCTGTTCAGTGGTGGAAAAAATTTGGGTTGGGTCTGGTTCTCTGAAGGGTGAAATTGGTTTTTGAAGCAGAGCCAGCACGAGGCACAGCCACGGCTCCCTGGTTTTTCAACAGCAGCGTCTTTTGTTTAATTTTCCTTGTAAATGTAGAGAAAAAGGGCGACGGGAAAGGCAGGGACTGGGTGCTCCGAGCTCCCTTCACAGCCCTGCGCTGGTGGGGGTTCATGGAGGGGCTGCGTCTTCGCAAGGTGCTCAACTGATATTGGCAGCGACTGAGGATATTTGCAAAAGCCCACATTGCCCTTGGCCTCTCCAAGGGCTGGAAGCACCCAGCGTTGTTGGGGAATGTTGGGGTTTTTTTAGCAGCCAATACTTTAAGGGGAGATACTGAAAAATCTGCTTGTGTGATTCATCAGGGGGTTGGTTGTAGTTTTTCATCGCAGCATGGGAACACGTTGCAATAGGAAGGTACAGCACCATGGTATTTGGATGATCCCCTTGCTGGATCAAGCCCTGGGTGATCTATATCTGAAATATCTGGATGATAACCAGGCTGTCCCTCCGAGATGTGCCCAGCTCGTCTCCCCCTCCCCAGTTCTGCTTCCTTTATCAGTGGTGTCTATAGCCCATCGTAAAACCTCGTGTGCGCAGTCTGTGTGTGGAGCACTCAGATAACAACCACAAAAGGGGTTGATCATTTACTGGGAAAATAAACATTCTGAGACACCCTTGGGCTCCAGCATTAGCCAAAATGGGGGTGATTTCCACCAGGCCCAACCTCACTGCGCAGCATCCCGGGGAAAGCGCAAAAACCAGCCTGAAAATGTTGTTTTCCTCCGCAGCAACGTGCTGGCTCTGGCCATGGAGAAGCCCTCGTGGGACGTGGGGATGCAGCCGTCGGGCAAGATCCTCTCGCTGGACAGGCAGGGGGCCAAGAAAGTGCTGGAGATCTACGTCAGGCGCTCGCTGACCTGCCACGAGAACTCGCTGGCGGCCAAGAAGACGCTTCAGGAGGGAGTCAGAAGGCGAGGGAAGAAGGCAGATGGGCTGCAGCGGTCGAAAAGTGACTTCTCCAAGTATTCGTGTGCCAAACTCGTCCCCAAGAAGGAGCAGGAGGAGGAACCCAAAGCATCAGACCTGGACACGGCTCTGGATGATGAGAGCAAAGCTCTTGGGGAGGTCCCTAAAGAGAAGCTGGAGCCCAAGAGGAAAAGCACAAAAAACTCTTCCCAGGGCAAAACTCAACGTACCTGGTTCAAAAGTTTCTTAAATTTGCTCTTCAAGAAGAGCTCTGAGGAGCAGAAGGAAACCGCAGGGCAAAAAGCAAAGGAGAAAGATGCCAAAGCTCCTTACAGCTCCAAAACAGAAGGAGCTAAAAGACCCGGAGAGGGCGTGAGCACATCCCCGCCGCTGGGCAGAGCCCCCAAGAGGAGACCCAGCCTCAAGAAGGTTTTCTCCTTCAAGAAGCACCTGGAGGAGGAGCGGGGAGAGGCGGCAGCGGGGGCGAGTGCCAAGCGACCCAGCTGCCTTCCTCTGCGGCACATCCAGGCACCGGCCACGCCAGGTGAGACCCCTACCACCCCTAACTCGACCCTACCCCAACCCTACCGCCAACGGGACCTCCCTTGGGCTGCTTTTGGGAAAGCTACAGTGTTTAGTGCTGGTTCTAACCTAAGCATCACCCTCCTGGTGCTTGCTGGGGTTTGGGGTAGGTTTTGGGGACTCCAATCTCAAGCTGCTGTCCCAGGACAGGGTCAGTTTGGCCGTGCTTTGAGCACACGTCATTGCTCCAACTTTTAAGGGCAGTAAGTTGCTCGAAGCCAGCTGCTCGGCAGTGACTATCCAAGCACAGGTTTCCCCCTTCTATCAAGCAAGGGCTGTGGTGGTTTAGTTTAAACCCACATTTGAGACCTAAGATTAAATCTTAAACCACTCCAGGGCCCACATTAAGCTGCTTTCACTTCGCTGCAGGGAAGGGTGCGGGCAGCCAGCACAGCCCATGGGACACCCCCAACCCCACCCCAGCCCTTCCCCTGCTGAAAAGCCATGGAGGGGCTTTCTGTGAAGCTGTGGGGGACTTGGAGCACAACGCAGCCGCTGGGTTACGGTTCAGAGAGCTCAGCCCCATCGCTCTCTGCACTAATCCAGGCTGGGCACCAGCACCACGTGGATGCAGTCATTGCTGCGGCCGCGTTTCTTTTCAATCAATGGCCAAAACAAGAAGAATAAATCTCATTTCTGAATATCTGGGGGTTTTTTTCCAGCAGATGTGGAGCAGCGCGATGGTTACTACGCGCGAGTCACGGAAGAGATCGGGCTGATCGTGCAGGGCAGTGAGGGCCAGGGGAGCAGAGCACGTGGATACGGGGAGCCACCGCAGCCAGCGGGCGCCGATGGGATCGGTGAGTGGTGACCTTGTGCATGCTTCATCGCTGGCACATATAGAACACATACAGACATGAGACTTGTCTGTGTGGGACCCAAATTCCACTTCAGTCCTGCTTTTACATGTCCCAAAGGGTCATAGGAAGCCTTAGGGGAGATTTGCAGCATCAGGGCTTGATTTGGAGAGAGAAAACTTGAAGGGCAGGAGGGTGGTTTTGCTGGCTGAGGGTAACCAGGCACTTGGCAAGAGGCTGAAATGGGTTTTGGAGCGGTGAAGGTGGATGAACATTGCCCAGGGAATCTTTTCTGGGGATATACAGAGCATCTGGGTGTGAGGCTTGGAGAAAGGGCTGTAGATAACGTGGTGTCTCTCTCTACAGATGAAGCCATCAAGAGAATCGTTGCACTGCTCCAGAGTGCAGGAGATGAGCTGGACAGGCAGGTGAGAGAGCTGGGGTCTCCTGGATGGGGTCGAGGGAATTGGTTGTAAAATACAGCAACAATTGCTGTAAAATACAGCAACGCCATCAATTTCCCTGGTGCAGGGAAACATTCAGTAAAATCAAGGAAATGGCATCTTTTAATTCCCCGACTGGGTGTGATCGTGGCTGTCTGTCTGTCCTCTCTCAACTGTGATCCTAGCATGGAGGCATCGATGCGAGGATGACACACCAAGGTATTTGCTCCTAACGTGTGCATTCACTTGCTTCTTAACCAGGTGAAGGAAGACGCACGGCTCCGGACGTTCTTCAGAGACATCTCCTACAGCTCCTTCAAGAACTTGGCCGATGCCTACGTCCACAAGGAAATGACGGCCAGCAGAGCCAACGTCAACCCCCAGGAGATCCAGTTTGCCTTCACGGTGCACCTCACCGCCAAGGTGGCAGGCATCTGCAACCAGGCAGTGAACAGGATCATGGGCTTCGGCACCCGCTACCTGGAGGATTCCTTTGCGCCCTTGTCCTACAGCAAAATTCTCCAGGTAGGGAGGAGAAGTGAGCCTGGGGCTGAGCTCCCGGCAGCAAGTTAGGGGAAGTGGTGTGATTTTAGGGTGATGGACAGACCTGGGTGGGTAGCAGCCACGCTGATTTATACTGGGGGGGTGCTGGATCTTGCCCTGTGCTGTTTGGGCTGTCTTTGCCTTCCTCCAACATAAGCATGGCCCATGGACACGCAAGGAGCAGGACTCGCTTTGCCTGCAGCCAGGAGAAGCCCCGCAGTGCAGAGCATCGCTGCACCCTGGTGTAACCACAGCTTTCCCCATGGAGGATTTCCTCCTAAACCCATCCAGAAGTCCAAAAGCACCAGCTCAGTTTGGGAAGGGACCTCACGGGTGTTTTCTTCTCTCTCAGCAGGACAGAGGAAAGTTCAACACAGACAAATGTGAGAGCCCAGACTGACATCGGCTGCTCCGAAGGGCCCGTGGTGCCTGGGAACCCAAGGATGCGGATTTACTGATGGGGGAAACAGTCCCTGTTGGTGACCTGGCTGTGGGGTGATTTGCTGAGCTCTGGATTTAAAATCCTCTAAGGAAAACCACAGCGATAGCCACAGCAGAGTGAAACGATAAAAACCCACCTGACTGAGGACAAAGAGTCTGTAAATCAAACAAAGCCCAAATTCCACCCTGTGTTCGCATTTTGGCTCTCACCAAGTGCATGTGTTGAGCCTCACGGTTTGGTTGTGTTCATGTACGTGTATTTATTTGCTTTTCTACATCTGTGAATGTACAACACAATTTTTGTAGCTGATGAATTCAGGAAAATAAAAAGCTAAAACTCAAATAAATTGGTCTCTAAACGGCAGCCAGGCTTGTCTGCTGCGTGATGCGTACGGACGTTATACGTGGAATAATGTTTGCTTTGCTACAGCCGGTGTGGGCTGCTCCTTTCAAGCCAGATGCAAAGTGGCACAAAGGGAGTCTTACAGCAGATATATGGTGCTGTCCTGCTATTTTTTTACTATTTATAGCCATTCCCTCTCCAGCAGAAGGGGATTTATTAGCCAAAGCAGCTTGATCTGACACCAAGAACTGGGTAAAGCCTGTTTCCGCGGTGGCTGTCGCTCCCTCAGGGACCAGGGGGATTTAAGGCAGCTGGGGTCTCACCTATGAAGCCTAAGAAGATGTGAAATGTCAAAGTGATTACACCCTAATCGCTGGGAATGTTCCCAGCTAATCTTTGCCCAGATCCCTAAGCAGGGCCATGGATTAAGGCAGCTCGGGGCCGGGAATTGCCAGCACTCAGCGTGATGCCGCGGGCAGAGGCATCTCCCTTGCCAGGCTTGGCCCCAGCCTGGGGTGAAGGGGACAAACTTTTGGGGTTTTCAGTGTGCAAGGGGTGTGATGTTCTCCTGGGTTGAAGGTAACGATGGTGGCAAACAAACCTGCAGGTGTGGGTCAGTGCCATGCGTGGGGTGATGGTCTCTCTGCCCCCCAGTGCTCTCTCGCCCTCCTCTCCTGCAGGACGGGATCTTTTCAGGCCTTGTAAAATCCTGAGTGAAACAAAATGGGGAAGCAGAGACCTCATAAGAAGGAAGCAGCCTTTCCCCATGCAGACCAACCTCCCCCTGTTTGCAAAGCCTTTAAGGAAATGTTTGACAGAGTTGCAGAGGGTTGGCTGCCAAAAAGCCCCAAGGAGAGGGGATGTCTTGCCTGGGCTCTGTCTGATTTAGCCCAGGGTAATTAGGACTGTGAAAAACATCAAATCCCACTCCTGGGTCCTGTCCAGCGATGCCAGCATCGAGTTTTGTCTTGGCCAGGAACCAAACTGGGAGACTTTTACTGCAGAGAAACCGAAACTGCTCTCTCCTGTTTGCTCACCCTGGTCACGTTCCTGTCCCCTGCCCGGAGCCAGGAGATGGTGCTGGGGCTGTGACCAGGGCAGTGGGGACCTGGGGGGAGGATCACGCTATGCCCCTGTTTGTTTTGCATCTGAGCTCATGCGGTACCAAGATTTGCATGGAGCTGAAGAGGGTTTTGTCTCCTCACTGACTTCCCAGAGGACATCACCTCCCCTCAGCACATGGGATGTGCCTGCCAGGCAAAACACCAGTGAGAAAAACAACTCCTGTCTCCCATCCCCTCCCCTTGTGCTTTTCCTGGTATCATGGCTGAACCAAGCATCCTCCTTCTGTGGTCACTAAACCTTTCCCCACCCATCGAGGCAGCCGTGCTGGGGAAACAAGGAGCAAAACCTGCACAGTCACAATGGTCCCAAATAACCCAGCCCAAGGCAGGGATGCTGCTCCAGGTCCCTTCTCGTGAGGGACTCCAGCATTTTGGCTTAATCTGTTGGCTACAAAATTGAGATCCTGATTGCCTGTGGCCACTGGAGATGTTAAGAAGGTATTAAAGAGGGGCAAGTTATTAGCCCCGGGGTTTTGATTGGTTTCCAACTCTCGGTATTACCTTCATCCTTCCCTAAACGCCCTGCCGTGGCTTCAAGCAGCTAAAGCTATCGCCTCGTCTGAAAATCCCTGGGATCACGGACACCGGCCATCTGGGCACTGATCCTGCCCCGCACCCTGCACAGCCCCTGCCCGCCTGGTGCCCAGCGCGAGCCCGGGAGCCTTCTCCCGAAAGCATCTCAGGCTGCTTCTGGGATCCTGTATCTCCAAAGTCGTTAGTCCCTGCTAATCCTGCTTTGTCGAGCGCCAGGTGGGGGAGGGAGGCTTAGAAAATCAGCCTGGCACTTAATGAGCCAATTAATGCAAAATTCGCTGTCACTAAGAGGATGATGACAAGGTTTCATCTCACGGGAGTGTGGCACCGGGCCAGGGAGGATGCTGTCCCCAGGGATGCTGTCCCCTGGGATGCTGTCTCGGGGCCTTGGTGTTCGCAGTGGGACAGGGTGCAGGGCAGATTTTGCATGCTCCCCCTGCCTTGAGAACCACCCCCTGTAATTCATTGCAGGCCAGGGCAATCTGTGGGAAATGCCATGGTGTGGCTGTGCACCCCCTTGCTTGGCAGACACCCAGGTGTGTCCCCAAAGCCCCTCTCCTCCTGAGCTTTGAGGATCCCAAGGGGAGCCTGGGGTGTCCAAGCACACCATGAAGTCCTCTCAGGTCTGAGCTACCAGGTTTTGGGGTGCTGTCCCTCTGTGTATGGGCACCCATCCTCTTGTCTGCACTGCACTCTGACCCTCTCCTGGGGCTGGCCCTGCCTTGGTGTGGGGCTGTGCTGTCTGCTGGGCTTTCTTCTCAGGCACCTTCTTGCATTCACTGTGCACCTCCCCATGGAGATACTCACTTGTCTTCTTGCAGGGATCACAGCTTCTCCATGGCCACCACATGGTCCTTCATCATCCGGATCTGGGAATGCAAAATCCCATTTAATACCTTGCTTCATGGCAGCTACAGGGGACAAAACTATCAAAAGATGCCCAAAGGAGAGCATGGGAGAGGAACAACACCCAGCTCAGCTTGGTGTCAGGGTTTGCACCCACAAAGTTCTCCACATTTTGTAGCAAGCTCAGCTCCTATGGGAAAACCATCCTCATGTTGTACACTGGATGGAAGGGTGTGTTCCTGCATGGGATCATTCACACCTTACCTTAAGCTTGGGTTTGGTCTTGGCCAAGGAGGTCCAAGTGCTGAGTGAAGCAGGATCATCCTGTGCCTTTCCCATGCAGTCCCTGTTGAATTCCCTGGGGGCCTGGTGCACAGAAATGTCAGAGTCAATGCACAGAAAACACAGCAACAATTCCTCCCAGCGTTCACTTACGCACTTCTGATGCACTTGTGTGTTTGGCTCAGTTGCAGTGAGAGATGACAATTTTTGGCTGCCTTCTACCTGCAGATGTTTGCCAGTGCTGGAAGAAAATTCCTTTAAATGAAGGAATTTGCTTTCCCAAGGGCTGGAGGAGACAGCAGCATGAATCACACAGATCCCAGCTCAGGTATCACCGTGAGGTTCGTAGAGAAGCTGCAATGTGTGGGAGACTCACTCAAGGAGGACATAATGCAAGAACAACATCAGACACTGGAAAGACAACAAATGAGAAGACCAAATCCAGTGAGGCTGAATATTTACAGCACGACGTGATCATGTGCAAATACACGAAATCAAGCAGTTGTTCACCTCCAGAATAATCCAGAGAATGTTTCTATATATCTTTGAGCTGACAACTTGCTCCTGCTTGTCCTGTGGTCCAGGCAGTGGCCGTCGAGGAGAGCTTTGGCCATGCCCAGTGACATTTATCTGGGGGTTTTGCAGGTGATGTTCACCCACTGATGGGCAGCGACCGGTGAAACTTCAACCCAGGGACATTTTGAGTTTGGGGGTCTTTGACCCCAGGTATTGCACAGGACACAACTCTTGTGATGGGGACCCTGCGATGGCTGGAGAGGCCAGGGAAAAATCCATGAAAATTTGGGGTGAAACAGCAGCAGGATGCTGGGATCATCCTCTCTTTTCTTGTGCTGTCCTGGTTGGTCCTGGTGCACCACCACGGGGAAGAAGAGCTCTCTCCTTCAACCTGTTTTTATACACATGCCCACATTATGGATATGTGCACAACCTTGAGAACAACATATGTAATATACATTATATAGCGTGTATGCTTGCATGTATTTGGACAACATAAGCAACACAGTATTTACTGATATTTAGTAAATACATCTGTTTAAAATGGCAATTTTTACTCTGCGTGTTGGCAGCAGCATTAGGTTATTAGGACTGAAAATACACTAGAAATCTACTGAATTTATCCCACTGGTTTTTTAAGCATCACCCAGCCAATGAAGACAGCCCAAAGGCTGATTTTGGTTGAGTAACCCCAGATCTGGGGAACATGGGGCTGCTGCAGGCATCCTTCTGGGGCCTTATAAACCACTGTGCTGCACTGGGGGAAGAGCAAAGCAAACCCAGCTCCCTGTTTTTCCCTGCAAAAAGGGTATCCAAGAATTGGGTAAGGACAAAACTCTTTCCACAGGGAGTAAAAATAAGCAATATTTCCAAATCTAACCCAACGTAACGCCCTGCATCCACCCCTTGTGTAACACCCTCTGGCTTTAAACGTCTTACACAAGCCTTTACTCACTCAGTACTGAGCTGTGCCTAAGCCGGGATTGACGGAGAATCCTATTTAGAAAAACACCCTTGATGAAGAAAGCACGAAGCGAAGAGGAAATTTCGCATGGATGTTTCCAAGTGTGACGGCACGGTAATGCGGGGACCATCGCCAGGAGGGCTCCCTGGGCACTGCACATCCCTTGGTATAAAAGGGGAGCCTTGATTCAGCCCCGAGCATCCGAGCTGGCTGTGGTCGAGGATTACACGAGCTGTTTTGATCAGGGGAAAACTGTTTTTAGCACAGGCAGCAATTAAAATAGCTTGTGATTCTAAAAACCTTGGGGAGCTGTCATAAAAGGAGGCAGAAAATCCATTTTCTGGATGCCTCTGCAGCCAGAGATGAGCCTGGAGAAAGCAGCCAAGACAAGAGCTTGAGGTTCACCTGGTGAAAGAAGACAACCCGACACATCAAGCCGGATACGCCAGCTTCATTTCGAGATGGCAGAGGAAGATCTCCGGGGTTCGAGCACCCCTTTTTCGCTCTCCTTTTCGGGCAGTGGCTTTCTCGCCCTGTACCAGGTCGGGGTGGTGCAGTCCCTTCTGGAGCTGGCTCCCGAACTCCTCAAGTCCGCGTGCAAGGTCTATGGGTCGTCCGCCGGCTCCCTCATCGCCGCTGCCGTGGTCTGCGGCATCAGCCTCGGTAAGACAGCGATTGCTCGGATTTTCTTACGATAGACTCATTTATTTCAAAATAAGAATAGTGGAGCTAATGCCTTAAAGCACTGGTGGGGATGCAATACTGGTGTAAATCATATCACTCACAAGGCATGAAGGAAATGTCACTTTTGGCAGCCACCCTGGAGCAATTTTGGGTGGCGTAGGCTGAAGAAGCCTGTTATTATTGTCTGGATGTTCTCTCTGATGGTCAGGTAGATACTGCATGTGCAAATCAAGATGCACCTGTATTTAATTGCCTCATTTTCCTGCTCCACCTGAAGGAGCAGATTGCCTTGTCTGCTGGTCTAAGGAGTGCTGAGATGCATCCCAAGGCAAGTCCACATGGCCAAGGTGGGCGGATGTACCCAAAAAACCCCTTTGTCCCCTCTGGACCTGGCCCCTTGGCATCCTTAGCTATGAAGGGATGCAAGTGGTGGCAATGTGGGCATCCATAGAGCTGCCAGCCCTGTCTGCGTGGTGCTTTGGGTTATCCCACCCAACCTTCCCAGCACAAGGGAAGATGTGGAAAAAGCTCAGGGACTCATCAGGGGGACATTCCCAGAGGTCCCCACTCCAGTCTAGGGTTGGAGTTTCTCTTATTGCTGCAAAATATGTTTTACTCTGAACCTCTTCAGACAAGGTGGGAACAGGCTCCCCTAGCATTAAGATCATCTATGTGTAGAATTAATTCAGAGCAGTTAATCCACTTTTAATAATCACATCCTCCCAAATTTCCAATTAGTGCCCATGTGTAAACAAGTGTACACAAGACTTAAGTCTTTGAAGGCTGATCCACGCCCCAGTTCAAGCAATGGGGACATTTCGGAGTAGTGGGGGTTTTAGGGTCCAAGTAATGAAGGAGGAAGCAGGTGGAAAACACACAGTGCTTGAAAGCTCTGGTGGATGCTGGAACAGCTCTGCTGGAGCTAAAAAGAATTCAAAATTTGGCAAATATATTTGGACAAAGCAACAGGAAACACAGTGTCGGAAACCTTTCTGCCTACATGGGGATGAACTTCTCTACAAATCAGCAAGAGCCCTAAACCCTTCTTTTCTGGTTCCTCATGCTGGTGCCATCAAATGAGCTGGGCCTGTCAGAAGGTATAAACCAGTTTGGTAACTGCTCTTCCTATGGGCATCAATGCTGAAATGGGGGTCTGCTCCATCAGAGGTGCTGCACCATCCACTTAGAGGTGCTGGGAGGATCTTGTGCCCAAAATATCATCCCCAGGGGAAGCAAAGACCTTTTGGGTAGTGGGTTTCTGTGAAGGAAAATGAACGTGGCACAAATTCTGTCAAATTCACCCTGGGGAAGGTTGGGGCCAAAAGAGGGTTAGGGGTGTGCGTGGCTCCTGATGGGGTGTCCCATGGGGAGGCTGTGGCCATGTATCGTGTCAAGTACCCAGCTGTCCTCTGCCACCCCACGGGTCACCTCCTGGGCACAAGCTGGGGCAGATGGGGACAGTCACGGCATTGCATGCCAGGGTCAGCCCTCGCTTGCTCTGTCAAAGCCCTGGCCAGAGCCAAAGTCCCTAAAGCTGCGGTTTGCTCTCACCTCCTGCCCAGCTGCCTGTGGGTGATTTTTCCAAGTTTTCCCCCATTTCCAGGGCACAGAGCAGGCAGACGGTGCCTGGCGGGGGCATCACCTCTCTGGGGTGTCTCTGGCCCTTTCAGCATCCCCCAGGACCCTGCGTGAACCCGCCGAGCATTAATCGTCACGCCACATGGCCTGAACATCCGCTCAAACATTTATAACCCCTCTTAATACCTGTGTTGTTCCAGTTGCCTTCAGGACACTCCATCTAATCCATCTGTCTGTCCGTGCTCTTAAAGCAGTCTCACGAGACAGCCCGCAAACCTCTGCTCCTGCAAAGCCACAGTGCTAAGTTGAACCCATGGCTTTGTGCTGGTGCAGGGTCCAAGGGAGCCCACTCAGGCACAAGTAAGGTTCTTTGTATCATCAGGGAGCTGGATAAGCTTTTTAATGCAACAGTCGAACAGTTCAAGGCGGGGTATTACCCCAAATGACCTCCTCATTTCAGCAAAGGGACCAAGCTCCTTCCCCGGGATCAGGTTGACTGCGGGGTTTGCTGCACCCTTCTTCCCCTCCCATCACTGCGCAGCCTTTAAAACCTGGTGTCTCCTGAGCCCTCGTCCGGGGCTCTGCAGTTCTGCTCCTTTAATCCAGCTTCTGGGACATGCAGACGCATGTAATGACTTTTAGCACTGCCTGCAAGGTCACTTGGTGGAGCTCGGATGAGCAGGGAGTCGAGCCACAGCGCCTGGCTTGCAGGAAAGCCCTCAGTGGAGGAGGTTGAGGTCTGCCCCTCGTCCTCACCTTTGAACTGTCCCAGGTTCCTTGTGAAGCTTGGGGCTGGCCATGTGCCAAACTGGAGGTGGAAGGCAGGAACATGTTGTGCAAGTCACGTTGCGTTTGTCCTTCCCAAGGCCCTTTGGAGCATTTCCCTAATCCCTGGGCAGGCAAACCTTGGCACCCATCTCTGATGCAGATGAGGATTTCACAGTGGGGTTGTGCTTGGCAATACGTTATCCTTTGAGGATATCATGGGGGTGATCTTCTCCTTTCTGCCCTGCCACCATATCCCCCACTGTAGCAGCAGTTTCATCCTGGGGTCATGCACAGGGCCTGCAAGAGGTTTTATCTGTGAGAAGTGTTGAAAACAGGATTAAAAATATAACAGTTAGGGCAGTAGGGATATTGACTTTCTGTCTTTCCTCCTCTTTGTGTCAGATGGCCTAAAGGAATTCTTCTTTGCCATGGCAAGTGAGGTCAGGAAAACCATCCTGGGCCCCCTCTCTCCCAAGTGCAGCTTGCTGGCGAATATCAAGAACGTTTTGCAGCAGATGCTACCAGAGGACTCCTACCAGCTGGCTTCGGGACGGCTGCACATCTCGCTCACGCGGGTGGCAGATGGCCAAAACGTCATGGCCTCTGAGTTCAGCTCGAAGGAGGAGCTCATTCAGGTAAAGGGACCTTCCTCTGATGCCCGTAGGAAGATTTTGACACCTACTCATTGGGGTGGAGGTACTGAGCATTGACAACTTTAACCGCGCTCTTTTCCACCCAAGATGGGAGAAGAGTCAGGAAGCTCTGGCAGAGCTGTGGTCCCACCACACCGAGCTCCATCAGGCTTGGAGGGAGAGGGGAAGATGTGGTTAGGTCCAGAGTCAGACAGGAATAAATCCAACCTCAAAAAGCTGATGCCGGCACGTTGGCCAGCTCTAAGAAGTGCTAATGGCTTTTTGCAAAGAGCTGTGTTAATGCCAACGTGACCTCCCAGCTTTCTGGGCACGTCTCTCCTTGGCCAAGTCCCCTTGGCAGTAATTTTCCTCATTGCCTCAGCACCTTCCTAGGAGGAAAGAACTGGATAAAGCATCTGTGCTGCCAAACACCAAGCAGTTGATGAACCAGTAAATTAGCTCCTAGGAAAAGAATCTTGGGGTAAAACCCTACCAAAGCTGGCCATGAGGTTGTGGGCTTGCTCGTCCCAGAGGATGGCAAGTCCATGGAGGTGCTGGAGTTCACCCTGTGATGCCTGTCCTAGGTCAAGGCAGGAGCCCGGGATGCTCATTCCCAGCTAATGAGATTGGTGAGAACTGCTTGCAAATGGCCCAGCAGCAGCTTTATCATTGACGAATACCAGCAGAATGAAAATGCATTGTGAGGATGTCTTGATTTTGCCCCAAACCCTTCAAATATGAAAAACAACCCCAAAGTTTCACCTTGCCACCATCAAAGGGCAGTGTTTGGACAGTGATATATAGATACACAACTCCAATACTGCTGGCAGCTATAAAAATAAGAAATGATGTGCTATTCCCTTCTCAACTCTATCAAAATGAGATGTTTTCCCCTTCCTGAAACCTTTCTTCCTGACACATTTAAGAGCAAAGTCCAGGTGGTACCGACAGCCTGGCTCCAGACGATTTGTCAAGCCCGAATTTGCAGGCACCCAGTTGACAGCTTTTGTCCAGGAGAAGTTTGACGGGTCCATTTACTTCCACAATCCCTTTCCTTCCCCAGGCTCTCCTCTGCAGCTGCTTTCTTCCTATCTACTGCGGCTTCATCCCTCCATCCTACCGAGGTGTGGTGAGTGCCATTTCCAACAAAACAGATGCTCCCAGCAGCATGTTCTTGGGGTTGAACCTTACATTCCCTTGAGTAAAGAGGGCATATATGAGTCTAGGCTGCTTCCTTAGTTAATGTAGGATGATAAAGCCTTTTAGCTTGTTCTTCAGCCCATGCCAAGATAATAGCTAGGTGGAACTGCCATCTGGAGAGCCCTCTCCTGCTTTGCCTGCAGACAGAGCCTGGATGACGAGATCCTGACTTGCAGATCTCCAAAGGGAGATGAGAGGATGCCCACACTCAGACTTTGACACACAATCCAGTAATCCTGGGCAGGATCTGTCACCTGCAGTGCAGACGTCTCCATTAGCTCAGGTGCGGACTTGTACAGCTGATATATCAGAAGTTTGTGGGAGGATCCTCTCCCAGCCATGCGTGTACTCATAATCTGCAAAGCACGGCAGTGAAGTCACAGAATCACAGAATCACAGACCGTGAGGGATTGGAAGGGACCTCCAAAGCTCATCCAGTCCAATCCCCCTGCCGGAGCAGGAACACCCAGATGAGGTTACACAGGAAGGCGTCCAGGCGGGTTTTGAATGTCTGCAGAGAAGGAGACTCCACAACCTCTCTGGGCAGCCTGGGCCAGGGCTCTGTCACCCTCACTGAGAAGAAGTTTCTTCTCCAATTGAAGTGGAACCTCCTGTGTTCCAGTTTGTGTCCGTTACCCCTTGTCCTATCATTGTTTGTCACCGAGAAGAGCCTGGCTCCATCCTCGTGACACTCACCCTTTAAATGTTTATAAACATTAATGAGGTCACCCCTCAGTCTCCTCTTCTGCAAACTAAAGAGCCCCAGCTCCCTCAGCCGCTCCTCATAAGTCAACAGATTTGGGCTGGTTTGTTGCTAACCCTCAGTGCAGGAGGAGCATGGCAGAGCGGTGGTGAAGCAGGTGCAGATGGACCACGGAGCAGCCAATGCACCATCGCCCACTTGTGTGTCAAAGCCCACAAAGCCACACCACCAGATTTGCAGCTGGGATAGAGCAAGGGTCTTTCCTGGACTCTTCTTGGCCTGCTCTGCTTGAGCCTGTTCAGCTCTCAGACGTCTGCCCCCGGCTGCCATCTCCAGCTCTCCCCAGGCTGCACAACTGTGCTCTTCTGCACTGTTATTTCACGAGCATTTAATTTGATCAGCTGCAGTCCTTGCAACCTCAGATCCCACTGAGGTGGGTGGTAAATTCAGATTCCTTTTGGAATACAGCAAATGACATTTTCCTTGTGCAGTGAGTAATCCTCCAAGGATTCGCAGGCAATTATTAAATGCGGGAGCCCTACTGCTTGAGCTCAGGACCTGAAATTTATACAACACTGTAATTTCAGTGATGTTTCAATTGGCTAATAACTGCCAAAACAACTTTACAAAGCTCTGTGAATTAAAAGAATTATATTTCTATTTCAATATCCGCTGTGGATTACAGGTTGAGGAGCTGGCTGGGTGCCGTAGGCAGGGCAGCAGAAGGAGCTGCCAAAGGCTGGGATAAGGAGCAAGGGGATGGGGAAAGACGCTGTTGCGAATGGGAATTGAGGATGTGCTGGTGGCAGGAGATGTCCCCTTTGCAGCAGGTTGCTCTCCTCTCGGTGATGCTGTCCTCACACCCACGCTGTGGCAATCCTCAAAGCAAGCCCTCCCTGTGCTCTTCCTCAGCGATACGTTGACGGAGGATTCACCGGCATGCAGCCCGTTTCCAGCTTGGAGGAAGCCGTGATCACCGTGTCCCCGTTCACGGGAGAGATCGATATCTGTCCACGGGACTGTCCTGCCATCTTCTACTGCTTCCAGATCTTCAACGGCAGCATCCAGATCTCCATAGAGAACCTCTGCAGGATTAGCTATGCTCTCTTTCCGCCTAGCGCCATGGTAAGCACACCAGGTCGTCTTCCCAGCTTTGTTTTGGTTCAAACAAATTAATGCTGGACCTGTTTTCCCAAGCTTGAAGGTTCAGCTCAATCTCTGCCATTAATTAATCAGGTTTCAAGGGGAGTGGGCAGTACCCACTGCTTTCGCAGTGCTGATGGGTGGCCAACCTGGGATGGGGTCTACCCTGGTTTGACAACGTGCAAAGGACCAGTGCTTTGATGGGTGGAAACCAGTCTGCGCTTGCTGCTTCCCAAATGGCCCATCCTAACTCTTCACAGTCAAACAGCCTTGGGTAGACCCTGCTGGTGCCTGGATGGAGGGCTCTTTAGTGACCCTAAATGTTTCTCCTTGCAGATCTTGAATGACATTTTCTCCCAGGGGTACCAGGACACTGCCCTTTTCCTGTACAGGAACAGTAAGTGTTACCCCAAGACCCAAAGGGCAGCTCAGAAGTGTGAACCAGTGCCCATTGGCACTGTATGGCCAATGCAAGTGGCCAAGCATCAGCCCTTTCTTTCTGTGTCTCCCAGATGCCTTTGGCTTCAACTACTTTGATGGCAATTTCCGCTTCGCCAGCATGTGTGGGAAGAACGACTCTGCAGGATCCTTCACCGGCCTCTGCAAAAGGGTACCACAGTGTTTGGCTCCTTGCTTCCTGCCAGGTAGAGGATTTGGGGCACTGATCTTGGGGTTTGGGGGTGGCTGGGGCCGCTGAGGGCTGCTGCAGTCTTTGAGAAGTATTGTATTTAAGACATTTCTGAAGTATTCATTATGGTAAATATTTCTATATCTGCAGTAGCTGTTCACAAAGAGGCTTTGTGAGAGTGGCTCAAGCTGGATCCTGGCCTGGGCTTCAGTACCCACAGGCTGAGCTGCAGCACGAGTTGTTGGAGAAGAATTACTGCATTTATTGGGTTATTTCTAATTACTGGTCTTTCTTCACTTGTGCTGTCATTCATGGGCACAGGCTTGGCTCTGTGGAGGAAGGAGCAGATGACTGGACTGCAAGATCCGCTGTCAAAGATCCTGTTGCAGCCGTACAGGCTGCCAGCTCTTTTCAGGAAGGGGTAAGAACACCTTGATAGAGGCATCAAAGCTGAGGGTGGTACAGAAACCAGTGGCTGTGCCTTCAGCAGTGGTGAGACAGCTGAAGGGATACGGTACAAGCCCAGAGTTGGGCTGTAGCACCCTCCAGCTCCACGGGAAACACAGGGGCAGTGCGGGCTGGCACCAAGTCCCTCCTTTTCCACGGACCAGGGCAAGCTGAGGCAATCTACTGCATAAACAGGCGTAGCAGCATCCCCTTCCTCTGCAGGAGGATTTGGTACTCCCTGTAGGCAAGCACTCAGGGAGAGTGGGTACGGCCAGCAGGAACACCACGGGATTGCTTGGTTACGGAAAAAGAGTATTACAGTGTGCATTTATTGTTCCCATGCTCCCCCTTTGGTTGCATTTACCAGTTGTTAAACTCTGCCTCTTTGTTTTGTTTTTTTGCAGGTGGAAGAAGCTGCGGGGGCTGCTGGAAGGTATCAGCTCCACAGGAAAACGGTTCCAGAAGCTCCTCCAAACCATGGTGCCTGGTTTGCCTGCGAGAGCCGTGGCGAGGAGGTGAGGTGCTTGGGGGATGCAAACCTTCAGCAGAGGGAGGGCAGGGTGCAGAGCAGGGAAACGCCACGGGACCTCATCCATGGGTCACTGATGCTGAACATGGCTAAAAATGCCAAATTTGGGGTACCCCACATTGAAAGTAGCTCATTTTTGTCCCTGTGGTATTGTTTATTCAGTGACATTTGAGAGCAGCCATGAACCAGCTTAGTGCTGCTTCCCTACGGCAACATATTGCTGTTGCAGAGCATTTATCTGCTGGGCTCTGTCCTAGCAGGACACCAGGGACATTCACCAACAACCTGAGAGACGTTTAGGCACTAAACTCTAAAGAATTCAAGGCATTTAAATTGTCACACAGAGGGGTTTCAAGTTATACCTTCCTAAAACCTGCTTGCAAGTTACTTAATGCACAGCTGGCGAAGAGACTTGCACAGAATGATTTTATACTGCAGCCAGCTACACAATTCCTCAGCCACGAGGAAACGCTTCAGTATCAAATGTCCCTGGGGCTACTTGTCCCTGTTGGGTGACCAGCCCTGACCCAGCTAACTGCCAGCTTGTTCCCTCAGGTAACCACCCTGGATGGGGTCTTGGACACCACGCAGTTCTGCTGCCCTGGGACGCAGTGGGCGACACCGGAGCTCATTTCACACAGCTGCTGGGTTTTATTATGGAGGTTTTTATGGGGGTGTTTATTTCACTTGGGGAAAACGGCTGATTTTGCTCCCAGTGCTGCTGTCACAGAATCCCTGCCCAGGCCTGACCTGCTTTAACATGACAGCCAAACCGCAGCCCATGCAGGGCATTGTACACGAGTACAGCCTGGCTGCTGGTTTCCCAAGGCACTGCACTTGCTGATCACCAGCAGCATCCCTCCCCCTGCTTCAATGCAGATTACAAGGCAGGAATTTGCCAGGAAATGACACTTTTTAAGTGTATGCCTCCCACTCAAAAACTTTCAAAGCGATTCATCAAACAGAAAACAGAGAGGGAAAAGCCTTAGGGAGCATCACATTGGGCAGGAACTCATTTTTACCCAGTTTTCAGAAGTTATTTTACCAATTATCTATTCTTGAGCTTCACACACCCTCGGAGGCCTGCATCTCCTGCCAGTGGAGGTAGGTGCACATTTGGACCCCTCTGAATTTGCAGTTGTGGAGAAGAATGAAGAAACCTAAAGATTAACCTCTCCCTATTTCAAAATACCACAGCCTTGCAGACTGCATCTACCTATTGCACCAGGAGAGCTGACATTTCACAAATGCATTCATTCTACCCATGCCACCTTCTGTAAGTCACTGCTACAAACATTGTATGGTTCAGACAAACCTCATTTTGCTGCTCTGTATGTAGAATGT